AGTTTTGAAACTCTGAAAACTGAGGTTCGAAAGGGCGAAACTTATTACATTACATTACATGTGCACTCCTATTGCAGACTATTTTTTCAGAGCTGAGTTTACAACACCCACTTTGCGGAGATACGCCCACACAGTTGCGAGCTTCCGACTCACGTGATTTGTGGCAGCGTTGTCACGCACTTCTGCTCTGAAACTCAGACTGAGCGAAAATGAAGCTTCGCAACCTCGCAACTTAAAAAAAAAAAGCCTGGAGGGAGGGCCTTCTGCTCTTGGCCAATGCTTTGCTGTCTGCTGACGTACAGTCCAATCACAAGTCGTATTTACTGGAAAGGTGGGATTGACCGACTGCTCCGCCAATGACGAAAGCGTATGGGATGAATATAATATATTCATGCATTCTAAAAACGAGTCAATGAATGCACGCATGCAACCTGATCAACATCTTAGGCCTACGTGTTGCATGCGCAAATTCTGAGCTACATTAATACAAAATCGAGGTTTTGTATTAACAACTATGGCTCTAGTTGTACAAAATGCTGCACATTCATGTGATTCTGGATTTTGCACACACAAGTTTTAGGCCTATTGTATTAGTTTAAATGATGCACATTTATGAATTTGTCAAATGTGTAGTTGTAAATGTGTAGTTGTGCCCACATTAATAACTAGCACCAGGCCTATTCATTTGTAGTTGTTTGTGTGTGGGTTGTTAAATGCTTAAAAACCGCGAAAAGAAAGTCTCAAAATCCAAATGAATCAAATAAGATTGACTCAGAGAATGCATGCGCGTCACCTGATCCACACATGCACGTCTTCTTTGTTGCATGCGCAAATGAAATTATGATACACTAATACAAAAGAAAACATTTGTATTCACAAAAATGTCTCTATTTGAACAAATTGCAAATCTTGTGCGATGTCCTAAACTGCCGAGATAATCACACAAGCGTGCCGTGGCTAGACGTCCACTAATGACACGTCCGATACGCAAACCAAACGAATGACTCATTTTAACCATTCACTTTAATGAATAGTTAAAACAACTGACCTGTCCAACACTGAACTCACGAGACCTCTAAATCGGTGTATAAAAAATCGATAACACTTATAGATTAGTTAACATTTACTATTAACAAACTGCACGTGCAGCATTGTTAATGTTAATGTCAATATTTAGAGAGTCTGTAGGCCTATAGGCCCACTATATGTGTTGTAGCCATTAAATAAGCGCATTTAGTTTCATTTTTGGTTAAAATATTATAATGTTATTTTTTTTGCATCTATGCTGATTATGAAAATTGAACAGCATGAGTAAAATAGTCTCTGGTAAGATGCGCAATATATCGGAAGATATGATGGGTCAGACATGATTTTGACCACTAAATTAAGTTTTGTTTTGTAGAAAGCCTTTCTTTAAAGTGAATTTCGTTTTGTATAAATTGTATCTTAATTTTTAATCAATTTTTCATCAACCAATTGCCTGGATATATATTAAATAAGAAGCAAATGGCAGACAATATATTCATGGAGGCGCGGGCGCGATTGCATTGCACGTGAACTGGAGCTCATCTCATCATAAATTTTGCTCATTTAAATAATAGTGTGTGTGTATGTATATATATATATATATATATATATATAGCAGCCTATATATAATTGCGCAGCTCCCCCTGTCAATGATCTAGCACCCCCTCAGCACCTGCGTTAAAAATTATCTGGCGCCGCCCCTGTTGAAAGGCCTTTGGTTGTGGATAGTAAAACATTTCTGCAATATTAATCAAGGGTTCATTGATAATTGTGCTTGCATGTGTTAATCATTTTGATACTTTGTTTTAATACAGCACTTTGGCCAACAACTGTTGTTTTTAAATGTGCTCTATAAATAAATATGACTGACTGACTGACTGACTATATTCATCCCATACGCTTTCGTCATTGGCGGAGCAGTCGGTCAATCCCACCTTTCCAGTAAATACGACTTGTGATTGGACTGTACGTCAGCAGACAGCAAAGCATTGGCCAAGAGCAGAAGGCCCTCCCTCCAGGCTTTTTTTTTTAAGTTGCGAGGTTGCGAAGCTTCATTTTCGCTCAGTCTGAGTTTCAGAGCAGAAGTGCGTGACAACGCTGCCACAAATCACGTGAGTCGGAAGCTCGCAACTGTGTGGGCGTATCTCCGCAAAGTGGGTGTTGTAAACTCAGCTCTGAAAAAAATAGTCTGCAATTGGAGTGCACATGTAATGTAATGTAATAAGTTTCGCCCTTTCGAACCTCAGTTTTCAGAGTTTCAAAACTTGTTTTCACCTATTCGCACACCAGTTTTCAGATCACCATTTACAAGGTTTCAAATCTGGAAAACTGGGAGAACAGTGACAAATTCGAAACTCTAAAAAAATGATTGCACAACACCGTAAAAAAGAGTGTTGCACTTCTGAAGAAGGAAAACTCAAAAACAAAATTATGTTTGCAGAGATTTCATTTTTTTTTACCACTTTGCAAGCCTGCAAAAGTATTTTTTCAGAGTTTCAAAACTTTTTTTTACACATTCGCACACCAGTTTTCAGATCACCATTTACAAGGTTTCAAACCTAGAAAACAAACTAATACAGTGGGAGAACAATGACAAATTTGAAACTCTGAAAAATTGTTTGCGCAACATCGTAAATTTTTTTTTGCAGTTCTGAAGAAGGAAATCTCAAAAACAACAATGTTTGCAGAGATATTTTTAATTTTTTTACATTTTGCAAGCTTGCAAATCTTATTTTTCGATCTTGCAAAACTTTTTTTTGTAAGATTTTGAGTTTTCAAACACTTACTTTCAACCTTTCAGAACTTTATTTTCAGTTTTGAATCATGGCAGGATATTAATCCCATAAACTTTGAACTAGTTCATGTAGAAAGTGAACTTTCCCAACACTGCAGACATGCAATCAGCCTATATTGAGAGCAATACTTCACCGTACTCCTTTGAATGAAAACCCATCATCTGCCACTTCAGTCAAAATTATTTGCAAAACAGGAAGTTGGAAAAAAAAAATCCCAAATCCTTATGTGAATACTGTAAAAGGCTTTAATAAAAGTAAACACTGGCCAAATAAATGGAAATATTAGAAACTAAGCATCACATAAAAACCTCATTTACCATTAACACTAGAACAGCCATGACGGTCATTTTGACCGTTTTGAATTTTTATATCTGCAATAACTTTGTTGGAAAAATCAATAAAATCCTGCTGGTACCTGACTTTTCCTAAAAGTGTCTGTATTTTCATTTAAAATGTTTTTCATATAAATCAAACACAAGGCAAAAAAAACAAATGAACATATTTACCTATTTCGGCCATAGACGGCCATATTGACCGCACTGAATTTCGCCGTATTCTTTTGTTACATTTCCCGCGGTTGACCTTTGTCTCTCTCACTGTCAACAGAATATCTAAATAAGATACTTTAAGTGGTTATTATCTTGTTCTGAGTTGAATGGATATGGCAATATAGCTATCTGTTGTGAATATGCAATAATTATGGTAAGCTAATGTTATTATTATTTATAAATGTATAATTAAACTTGTTTAAATATACAGTTTGGTGTTGTTTTGTTTTTAAAAGATATCCTAATACAATAAATGCATTAATCTCTCAATTTGGATATTTATCATTAAAGATATAGAGTTTGGAATCTAGCGGTCAAAATGACCGCTTGTGGCAGTTCTAGTAGTTATGGAATTCTGGCACTTCTAGTGTTAACCTTAATATATCCACCATCTGTACCTCTATTACTTTACAATACTGGCCATAACAAACCAGATTTAAACAGATGATGTAACACATTTTTACAACTTGTTCAATAAACAAGATGTGCTTCATCTGGACAAGCTTGGGTGCTTTTCTCTTTTTGTGTATACTTATTGTCTGTATGTCTTCTTACCAAAAAGTATTATAAGAAAGGTCACGTAGTGCCGTATAATGACTTGAAGTACAAGGGTTGAACAAAAACTGTGAGAGGAATTCGTGGATTGCGACAGACGAGGGCTTTTATGTGAGAGATGGGAGTGTTAGTCAGCCAGATGCAGCTGAGTGACATGGCTTGGTTGGTGGTTTGGGTGGTTAATTGTGAAGAAGATAAGACTAAATCATTGGCTTTAAGCTTCAATCTGATTTTGACAGCAACAGGAAGCTAAAAAGGGCCACTTTTCATTTGCATGAAAAGGATACATATTGGTTAATAACCCTGAAAAGTGCTGCATATTTCCTTCACCAGCAGCAACCTCAAAATCAAATGACAAGCGGTTAGCATAGCACTATAGTAGATTTAAAAAAAAAACGAAAATGGGCTTTCTCTACTTTAATAGAAATACACAGCCCTCACACTCCTAACCTTATACCTACAAATTTACAATTGAAATCACCTGGTGATGGGAACAAAATTTCCTTCTGGCCCTTTTCTGGACTTGAGTTACTGATGATCGGCCATTTGACTACGCACAGAGCCATTACCTCAATCAGAGCTGTTAATGTTTCACTTCATGAAGCACAGCATGCATCTTCCTCAGTGACTCACATAAGTGCTTTTCTACAGCAAAAGGACACAATGTCTGAAGAGGCTTTCGGAAGCATTTCATCCAATACTGTATAAAGTGTCCTGATTTTATTGACCCATGATGTGACCAAAATTATGGCTGTAGGCAATTTAATGTGTTAACACTGAAATTAATTATAAGGAAATTAAATTACCTAAAACAATTAGTGCAATTAATCAGGCCCCTGACATGTATGCACATTCCATAAAAAGGGATTTTCCATCAGCGCAATTCAAGCTTGAAGTACCACCTTCGTGTTTTTACACATTGCATCGTATTTAGAAAAATATTAAAGGTAAATGTTAGATTTTATGAAAAACTTAAAACGCTATGCAGTCAAATTATTTTCCTGATCATAAACATGCTGTTATTTTACAAATATTATATCAAAATATGAAACAAACACAAATGTAAACAACTTACTTCTAGTCAATAGAGTTGGACGCAGAATTTAAAATCCCACTCTCTGAACATATGGTCCAGCGTCTTCCGGTAAATACTCAGATACACATTCCAACATGCATCTACAGAGATCTGAAGAACAGAGAAAATTATGAATTAATGTGAAGCAGGTTAAAGAAGTCAGACAGAGCACACAGGGGACTGGCCTAATTAAGAGTGTTTCCTGTTATGTACTTCCATTCCATAATATGGTGAGAATAGTCACATTATGTGTCAATTTCATTAAGAAGCTATACTTCTGTATACTGATATTGAAGATAATTTCATAATTTAGATAATCTTTTAAAAATGTTATATATTATTCCAAACCTGTATGCATTTGAAAATTAATTTCATTAAGAAGCTATACTGTAAAACTGTATATATATATATACTGTATGTATATGTATTGTATATTATATTATATGTATACACACACACATATCACTGTCTATTTAAACATAACTACACAATTATTCCAAACCACTGCCAGCAAAATAAGACCTTGTGACAACTGTTATGCTTACCCTTTAAAACACTGTCCCTAAACACTGATGAATTGAGTGCTTTAAATACCATTCTGTGCTATACTGAAAAACAGATAAGACTGTTTACACTGATTTCTGTTGCCATATACAAAAGTCTAACCATAAGACTGGATTTCAATTTTAGTCCACTGAAAAATGAGAACCAACACATCGACAGCTGATTATAAGATAGCAAAGAAGGGATATTAAAGGAACATTAACATTACTGTCCATCCCAGTAACTGACCACCCAAAAATCTTTAAAAAATAAAAGTAGTTCATGTTGAAAAATTGATAGCGTAGCATGTCTGTAATCAAAATCAATTGCAAATCATAAAGTAATTCTGCCTGCATAACAGAAATATATAAACATACTCAAACCTAAAACACCAAAAAAATACATCAAACAAAAGGAGTGTAGCCTACTCAAGTGTGTAGGTTGACAGATTGTAATTGTTTAAATACTTCATAAAAGACACAGCAAAACCACTAAAAATGATGCTATTGTTTATAGAAGATTTAAAAGGCACATCAAGTATGTACATATATATCAGATGACGATTTTTAGTATTTTTTTAGTAAAGATATGACATCTCAACTCAGTTTTCAACTGCAAGCGTCTCTTCGATGTCTGGAACATTATATTGCCTAGGCTACTATAAAATGAACTTAATAAACGTCAAAAAGTGACTTTAACAGACATCTGTCCTTATTCTGTATTGACTTTAAAAACAATTTAATTCCATCACCTTCTTTACTCATCATTAATATGACCCTTTATTGTAGCCTATTACAAATGCAAAATGTTCGCCTTGAAGGCAGAGAAACTGGCCGAAGCCAGTACACAACATGTATTATGACAGATGGCACGGACGGAGCACGACGAGTTTGGATAAAAACTTAAAGTTGATTTATTCGCTAACTTTTCAATGATAATCAGTTGTTCTTTTTAGTCGAGCTAAAGGAGAGAAACACTTTAACATGGTAAGTGTGTAGGCTAATTACAGTAAGTTGTTTTCACGGTTTTATTAATCGGACCAAACAGAGAATGTGACGAACACACTCCCTGCTGCCTTCAAAAAGAAAATAGTCCTAAATAACACTTTTCCTCCTTTTCAATAAAACCAACAGCGATCTATAATGCTTGAGTTTAATGTAAAATAACTAAAATTCCAGCTAACATTTCATGAGACCAAGAAATGATAATCCATTTTACCTTATATCGCAGACAATCTGTTGTTTGCTGCTGCTGCCTTGAATGCAGTACGCTCGCGTGCTACAGTTGTGACAATCACAAAACCAACACAAGCCACACGCACTCGCACTCAGTTACCGTAAACAACAGAAGAGAATTCGCGCGCAGCACCGGGAAACTACCGTAATGAATATAGCTGACAAAACGTCATCGTTTTCTTCTTGACTTAAAATTATAGCCTTGTGTCTAGGTCCTCATTTGAAGGTGAAGGTGTTATATTGACTGTTTTTTGTCTTCTTAAAGGGATTGTTCACCCAAAAAAAAAAAAAATTATGTTATATATTATTCCAAACCTATGCATTTCTTTCTTCTGTAGAACACAGAGAATGACACAGAGGGCGAGTAAATTTTTCATTTTGGGGAGAATTATCCCTTAAAGCTGTTTTTTTGGAACCTGGGTTTCTGGCCAAGTTACATGATTCATGTTACCGGTATCATGTTCACTGTTTTACCCCAGAGCTATCAAAAAAATGATGATATTGGAATTTTAGCTTGTGTAATTTACTCAAAACGTCCCAGTTAATGAGATATAGCCCATATGACCTGACAGAATGTTCCTTGTTATTAAAGACAAAAAATGAGGACAGCCAATTTAGTATAAACTGGTGAACATGGTGTCCTCAGCATAAATTGCAAGAATAGCGGTTGGGTTATGTATTTTATAGTTAGTCTGTCTTATTATGAAGGTATTCAAGCAGACTAGTGCATGAGCTAAATCAATCACTGGAATTTTCTCATTGCAGAATACATTTTCTGGCCCTAGAAGCATTCTCCCACAAGGCATGCATTTGTTAAGGAATAAAAAGACAAATCAACCCCTCAGGTCAAACAAGGTGTCTGTAAAGACGTTTTAATTGATGAAATTGGGGGACACCAAAGCAAACCAGATGCATAGGGTCTTTAAATCCATAGTTATTCATTCTGGAACTAAGAAAACCAAGTGCAATAACCCGCTTTGATTTTACAGCATGCAGAGACCAAAAAGGGTGTTGAACTGGAGGCGATCATATTCTCACATAAGATTACCTGCATCCTCAGTCGATTCCTGTCACAGCTAATATCGTTGTATGTCCACAGCACCCCAGTGAAAGTCCATTTCATATTACTGAATGTTAGTTCCATCTATTCCTCAAATCTTTTTGAAAATTTTATCTGAAATTGTATCTACCTCACTGTGCCCTTGTTCTGAACAGCATAAACGACTATTGCTCTTACACAAGATCACAAAAGCAATTTAATATTGTAGTTAAGCAGGCCATGTCTTGGATCACATCACATGCACCTCTGATAAAAGGCTCTCAAACAGAACAGCTTTGGCTGCGTTCCTGATTACCTCTGACCCTCATCAAATGCAGTCTGTAACCATTATGCAATCAGTTTTCTGCATTAGATTGGCCTGGCCTACTTACTCTCAGGAAAGAGGAATAATTCATTGATGACGTGAATATGTCTGAACGAATGTTTAATCTGTTTCAGAAAATATAAAATACTAACAAAAGTACACTGTAAAAAAATTGCTGTAATTATGCAGCTGGTTGCCAGTAACTTACTGTAGATTTAAATTGATGTATATTTACTGGCAACAGTTTGTTCAAAGTTAAATGAACATTAAACATTAACAAGTCTTTGTCTTTACAGAATAAAATTATAAAATAACAATCTAATGCAAAGCATTCTGGGAACCAGAAATCTTCATCAACCTTTTTCTGTTTTTTTCCTTCAGATTTTGGTTCCCAGAATGCTTTGCATGAGGCTGTTATTTTAGTTTTATTCTGTAAAGATAAAGACTTGTTAATGTTTAATGTTCATTTAACTTTGAACAAACTGTTGCCAGTAAATAACATCAATTTAAAACTACAGTAAGTTACTGGCAACCAGCTGCCAGTATTACTGTAATTTCTACAGATTTTTTTTACAGTGTAACATCACTGAATGTATTATGACCTCAGTTAAATAGCCATGTAATATAGTCCCAAAGAGGAAAATGCTCAGCCACTCCCCTGTTATTATATGCTTCCCATGACACTTCTAATGGATGGTGATGACGACTTGAGATGTAAAAGTGATCAGAAGAGAAGAAACATCCTGCCACAGAAGGGGAAAGAGAACCACAGTTTATAACAGCATTTGGTTAAATTGCAAAGCATGAGTAGATAAGAGAGCAAAGAAGAAATGGACAGAAGGAAAAGAAAAAGAAAACAAATACAATTAAATACAGTAACAACACTTTAGAGACGATATTTAACAGGCTTTAGCTTTGGTTTGATTTCCTCTGCTTTGTGTCATTTTGTTTTGAATGGTATTTTCTGTGAATTTTCCATAAAATAACAAAATGTACAATTCAAGTCTTCCATTTATCATTCATTAAAACCTTGTTTAGATTATGTAGAAATGTTTACTTTCCACTCAATCTATTTTTCTATCCAAGTGTACTGTAACTTGTACATGTGAAGAGAAAAACATATTAAACTGAAATTCATTTGTACAACACCTGCTCTATTGCTTATCTGAGACGTTTCATGGTCAAGACAAAAAGTTACAATTAAAACAAATGTAAGCAGTTGTCAGGCAATTTTTTAACCCACAATCAAACCTTCCTCCTGAACACCATGAACATGTTGAAAGTACACTTTAGACCTCAGCAAAAAAAATTATAACTGCTACATGACTTGTGAAAAAGGATTGCAACATCCAAGCAAAAGAGTGAGCTTAAATCCACCAGTTTTAAGAGTCACAAAGGCTATACTGTATATCTCGTTACATTAACATTTTAGATTCTAATTTATAGATGGAACAGTACAGGATGGTATTGATCAAAAGTGAATTTATATTGGCTTTGCTATGTGACTTTCCTGCTTGTGGACAATTGATTGGGTTCAGTTTAATGTATTTAAGTGCAGTGGTCATAAGAAACCAAAGGCATCTCCATGGCCACAGAAGATGCGGGGAGATTGTGGGGAGATGGGATGGCAAAGGATCTGTCTCAATCAGAGACTGAATATTTGTTTTCATTTATTGTCATCAAAACACTACATTTGCAGCTATCGTATTGTCCATCGGGCTGTTATATCTCCCCTTCCAGGTATTTGAATAAACAGATCTTATTTAACCGCATCTGTGGCCAAAATGCATGGTGCTCCATCTTTTTCCCATATCAACACTCATGCAGACAGACATTAAATGTCAAATGTAAAGAGTAAAACAAAGATTCCCTTTAAATCTGAGGGGTGAGTGCTATAGGTCAGGATACTGTAAAGTGTAAAGGGGGGAAAAAAGTCAGAAAAAGCAAAATCCGAAAAGCTGAAGAGTTTTGTCTTATGGGTTGTTGTGTTAAATTCACACAATGAAGGGCACAATTCACACAATAAATCCTGCTCAGAGAGAGAGAGAGAGAGAGCAAAAGAAAATGGTCCACTTCATGTTACAATCCAGACTCCAGAGGGAAAGTGTACTCCCAGCTGAGGTATAAAATTACCTCTATCAAGTGTGTTGAGACTTTCAGCTTCGAGACAAAGAAGGGAATCTAATTTCCAACTCTTGAAAAAAAAAATACATATAACCCCTATTGTTGCTGCACAAACGCAAATAAACTATCACAGAGATGCATACAAACATAATAACACATTGGCAATGAGTATCTTTTGTCTCAGAGATGTCACTATTACCAAGACACAAAACACCACATGGATTTACTCGATCATTTTCTGAAAGAAATTTTGTAAGAAAAAAAAACATTTGGGACTACTCCCTAAAGGAATAATTCAGACAGAATCTTGCAATTTTGGCTTTAATGTGAACACTTATTGACAGCTAATTGATTCTGCCTGGTCAATTCTAACAACAATGTTACGGAATATACATCTTATAACAAGATTTCAAATCGATATAACTGTAGAAAAAAAACAACTGTAGAAAAAAATGTTAAATAACAAAATAGCTCCACCAAGTGGACATTGCTGATCATTTTTTATTTGTGAAGACATGCCTTCAGAACGTCAGAATTTTGCATGCCATCTCAGCCATAACTGTATGATATACTGTATTGTTGACCTGACAGTATAGCCAGATCATTTTGATAAAATGTGATAAAAAAAATACAATAAAGTCTCAAAAAGTCATTAAACAAATGGACAAATTTAAATGACCTCTAGCTAATAATGAACATTAACATATATGAAATCATTCATCTATTGCAGTTATAAATTGACAAACCACAAACTTAACTTATTCTCAGAAAAAATGTTTAATTCATTTAAAATTTTCACCATTTTTATAAAGACCAGGGCATGTGTTAGGCAACGATGAACATTTAAAATGTCGGTAACACTTCACAATAAGGTTCATTAGTTAACTACATTAGCTAGCATGAACTAATAATGAACTACACTTATACATAATTTATTAATCTTTGTTAATGTTAATTTCAACATTTACTAATACATTATTAAAATCTTGTTAACATTAGTTAATGCACTGAGAACTAACATGAACAAACAATGAACAGCTGTATTTTTATTAACTAAATTAACAAAGATTAACAAATACAGTAACAAATGTACTGCTAAAGTGTTACCAATTTTAAACCTGAAGCTCTCAACTTCGATTAATAGTGAAACGTGCCATTTCTGCACCACTAAACACCCAGAAAAAAATCATGTTTTCACACAAGTCTCAAACACTCCAACTGTCTGCCAATATTTAGCACCATGTGCTATTTGAAGAAAGAAAATAATTTTTGTGTGATTGATCTGTATAAGTTTGATATTGTCATTACTTGGTGTAAAACTGAGGACATGTTAAAAAAAAATACAAATAAAATACAAATAAAAATGCTCAGACGAACAGTTTATGCATTTAATTGATTTTAACTTTAAATGAGGATAATCTTCTCTCTCAAGCATTTAATCATTTCACAAACAAGGTTTAAGACTAGTCCCAGACTAAAATGCATGTTTGAGCTGTTTTAACTGAAAGCAACTTGCACTGGCATATCTTAAAATATGTCAGTGCCATTGTTTTGTCTCAAGATGCACACAAATAATGTTTTTTTTCACCTTCATAAAAACTACTTAAATGCCCTAATTGAACTAAGGCCTA